CAGCGTATCACCCAATCCCTCTACGACATTGACAGCAAAACATTGACCCCCGCCGTCACCAGTCTCCCAACATGGCGTCGCCGGTGCCCATGAAGCACATTGACAGAGAGGACCTCTACACCAATCTAGAAGCCCGTATCCAATATCTGCATTCCTTCCTAGACTTCTCAAGTAGTACGTTGCACCGCGTCGCCTGCAGAGACAAAGGGAATGGTGTCACACTGACCACGCACGCAGATGACATTGAAGCGCTCATCTCGGGCGCAAAATACATCAAAGCCCTGGTCCCTGCCGTCGTCAACATCGTCTACCGCAAGCTTCTGCAGTACGACATCACCGCGAGAGCCTTCACGACCAAGAACACCACGCAGGGCGGCGAGGTTGGCGAGGCCCTCCACGAGGACAGTCCCCAGATCGTACACCGAAAGATGTTTCTGCGCGCATACCTCAACAAGCTGTGCTCGGATCCGAGCAAGATGGAATTCTGGGAGTACTTGGACAAGGTCGGGTACGTAGTGTCTTGAAAAGCGCAACAAGAGCTTGCTGGCTGACCACACGCACACGCGCAGCATGATGCACGTCGGGCTGGGCAGGAAGCACCCGCTGCACATTGAATACGTCCACCTCGGCACATGTCTAGGCTTCATCCAGGACATCATGACCGAGGCCATCCTGTCGCACCCCCGGCTGCACATGTACCGCAAGATTGCGCTCGTCAAGGCCCTGAACAAGGTCATCTGGATCCAAAACGACTTCATGGCCAAGTGGCACGTCAGGGAGGCCGACGAATTCGGCCTGCTGGAGACGGACGTGGTCATTGAGAAGGAAGGCTATTTGCACGGCAAGAAGATTCTCGACGACAAGCTCATGGCGGATGCCGGCGCGGGACTGCCAGCGCCCAGCAAGAGCCAGTGCCCGTTTGCGACCAGTCTGCCTATTCCATCGCCCTTGAGGACCAGCATCGAAGTAGACGGCGAGGAAACCAGCGTGCCCATACCGGAATCTCCCAAGGTTGAGGTTGAGGGTAGATGATGGTGTGTTTGTGTCACGGAATCGAGGGGGGTGGGCAAAGCAAGCACTCCTTCACGTGAGCGCGGTGGTATCCTTTGCCACTTTGCGGCATTTTTTTTTTGGATTCGTATGCATATACCTTTTGGTCATTCAGTAATATAGCGATCGTCATGTGGACTTATGCCAATAGCGTCATGTCGCCACTTAAAATCCCGAATAAACTCTCCATCTCCGCGGCCACAATTCTCAGCTCGTCTGCCACCTGCCCCGTAACAAGCACGTATGCATACAGCAAAGCATAATCGCTCTCGGAAACAATAGCACCAGGCTCATCCTCCGCATAAGAGTCGACGGTACCGTTACTACTACCCGCTCGGGCCCGGTCGATGTCCGCCCGCAAAGCTGCCATGTTCTCCTCTCTAAATCGCGAGATTTTGCTCAGCAGGCGGTCGCGAGTCGTAAGTATATTCGGCAACGCATCGGTCAACGGATACTCCAGCATCATCGAGCTGGCCAGAACCTGAAAGATGTGGCAGATGCGGTCGCAAAGAACAACCCGCTCTTCAGCCGTGACTTCGAGCAAAGCCCTTTCGCCCCGCGTCAACCTCCCTCTCGACTGCGTCACCAGACTCATGGCAAAAAAGCTATCCAGAATCTTGCTGGCGCTCTGCATGATTCGTCCATTCGCCTGGAAAGGAAATGGACCCCGTAGTTCAAATTCGGAGGCGGCTGACTGGCGAAGGCTTTCAAGGCGGTCTGCATATCGCTGCAGGGCAGCCTGCTCGCCAGATTTAAGATAGCTCTGGGAGCAGTCGCTACGTAATAGGATGGCCAGGGGCCCCCGTCTCCAAATCAATCCCATTTGAAGGAGCAGAACAGATATGCCCTCCTTAAACTTTCTCCGAGCAGATATGGGCCAGATGACACGGCACACGATTAAGCCCCAGAGAATGCCGGTTGTAACAGAAATCGCTCGGTGCTTCACAATTTCCATAATGAGCGGATGTACTCCGCCCTCGTCGTCATCCGCGTCGTCCACTTTCTGGCTCAGGCTGTATGCGTACAGGGTCGAGACATTGTAAGCCAAGATGGTCATTCTTCCCAACGGCGCTTGGCCACGTGCGACAATGAGATAGAAATTGAAAAAGCTCACGGCCCACCCCAGGATGGCGAGAACGACAGCATTCCCCTGGCTCAGATTCCAATTGATGATGGAAAAGGCCGCACCAAGAAATGTACCAACAAATCTGGACCAGCCCGTGGTGTTGGAAGCTCCAACTGTCATGGAACAGACAATCATGAATGACAGCAGGCCCCATTCCCCACGGTAGTGATTGTACATGGGCCGCGTGGCATCCAAGAAGGCAAACATTGCCCACAACGATGCTCCAATTCCCACCTTGATGCCAAACAAAACTAATGTTCCGTTAGTGTATAGGTAAACACCCGCTTTTGCGCAAAACTTACTGTCGTCCCGGGCCACCTTCCTCAATGTTCTTAGCACCATTTGTGACATCCTAGCAAGCCACTTATTCTCATCGGGAGATGCTTGCCAACTGTACGTGTCCCTCCGCTGCAACATTGAATCGGGTATTCCCTTGGGCACCGACGATTTCTTTATGGGCTTGATGAGGTTCTCGGAGTCGGACGACTCGAAGGGAGGAGCAGACATGCTGTAGCTACGAGGCGCGTCGGCCCGCCACCACACCAGCCACCTCCAACTTCGCTTAGAATGGTCGGTGACATATCTCAAATCTTCCAGCATGTCCAAGTACTTTTGCATCTCCTCACCAAAGGATTGGAGACTGAAGCTAAAATGCCCACATGCTGCTGCCATTTCCTCCAAAGCGACGTTAGTGGGGCTGCGGTTGGAATCGGCATGACGTGTTAGTAAATCGTAGACGTGTTGTAAAGCATCAACTCTCGAGCTTGTGAACGTGGCCAACGAGACTGTCAAAGTCGAGCGAAAGCCTTCGTTGATGTGTATTTCATACTCGGGTGGGCCGCCGAACACGGGCTCCTGAAGAACGAGAGAGAGCGTCTCCGTCAGGTCTTGCATTGACGGTCGAATCATGTTGGTAAATGTCTCAAAGAGATCTGATGCAATATGCGAGGGATCAGCGACGTTGCTGTTGAGGAGCGTCTGTTGTGTTTTTGCGGCACTTCTCAGACCCCCGATGGATTGCGCCAGTGTCTCCATTGCTTGCACGATTGATCGTTCCACGGCATAGACTTTCTCGCGGCCGAGAAAGTATTGCTCGAATTTTGATTCTCTCAGACTCTTGAGAACTGCTGCGTGCGTCTGTTTGTAAGCGGACGATGCTTTGGAGATTTCGTTCGGGTGGTCGTGCCAGGTATCACCTCGGAGGAAGCTCGAGTTGACTGCAGTCAGCACGTCGCCAAGCGCTACCGACGCCTTCACCATCGAATCCCGCAGTTGCGTTCTCGCCGACACAGGCCAGATGAGTAGGTTGACTGCGGCGGCGCTTGTGATGCCCATTACAAGCATTTTGAGAACCTGGGCTATCTTTTGGTTGGAAAAGATGTTGTACACGACGGCATTCTCCTTGGTGACGACGGAAATAATTGCGATGGAAGCTAGGGTACTGCCGACATTGACAAGAGGATTATTCATCCGTTGCTTGACCCATCCCATGAAGCCAAAGCCTCCTCCTATGAAGACAATAACCACCAAGGCATGGGCAAGAGTCACCAGGCCCATTTGGGCTCCCACCATGACTGAGACGACCATGGAAAGAATCGAGACAATTTCGGCGTAGGCGACGGCAAGAATGGCGATCAGGATAGCCTCTATCATAGAACCGGCAGATCTCGCAGCATGGAAGTACACCGTGATGGTGGCCACGACATGTTTACCATCTGGTCTGCCCAAGAAGTCAGACAGCGGCCCAACAAAGGTAGCCAAACTGGCCAGTGTGTAGGCAAAGGTGCATTTTAGCACTCCGCGGCCCTGCGTCGAGTCGAGCCATTCCATAAATCGCAATACGTGGGAAGAAACGGTATTTTTCACTTGGTTGTAGCGCTTCAGGATATCTTGTCGTTGGGGGGAGCGTGGTGACGAGGCTGTATTGACCGGCAGATTCGGCGCCTCCATCGAATGCAAAGACGGGGTTGTGCCATTTTCGTTTGAGTTGTTGGATGGTATTGTAGGGGTCGTGGAGTCGTAATGCGAAGCGCCACCGTCAGTCTGTATCAGCGAAGAGGCCATACGGCCTGTTGCGGTATTTTGGAAGGCTGCTCTGTGTTGTCGGTCGAGTTGCGTGGATGGTGAAGGCAGCTATCGCCCAGATTCGCCACATGCAGACTGCACGAAAGGACGATGTCTGGAGGTGCAGAACGGATAGCCCTCGTAGCTCAAGCAGCCGACTTGAACCCAAATGCAGCAAACGAGACGTCGGAGCTGTGGCCAACGGTTGGTAATGCACTTGACTGATTGCGCAAGGCAGATGCGCCATCGAGCGTTGGAGTGATGCCAAGACTTGGAGAAGGCTGGAGCCGCAGTTCACCAAACCCCGGTCACGCGTGCCACTGATGGGACGATCAGCTGGCACCAGTTGCCGGGTCTGGTCTGGTCTGGTCTGGACTCTGGCCCAGTGCTTGTCCCTGTCCTTGGCCCACACGTGCCAGGCGTCGACCACCAACATTCGTTCTTCAAACCTTCAATGTTCGACCCAACATCTAATGCGGACAGCTTGAGCTGGAGACACCACTCGTGTCAATACCGATATGTCTGTTACGACAAATGTGCGGGCGTGCTTGATTGCCCAGGCAGCCGATTAGCCGCGACAGCTCAGTGACAGCTCCACGACGAAAAGCCAGCACTGAGTTGACGTTCCCCAGCTTTCATCAAACGTCAACATTGGCCTGTGCCCTAGCAGTCTCCTGCCATGACCATGGGTTCGAAAATCGGGACAAAACTAACATGTCTATATTCGGAATCTATAGTGTCTACTCAAAAAGGAAACGCATTAGCTCAAAGACGACGCCGACTTGGCACTTGCTCTGTCTCGGTCGCGAACTGAGACAAGTTGCAACTCGTCTGCTTCAACATATTTGACTGTGAAAGACTTCTGGTACCATATCCCATTGCCACCCTCGCCGGCTGCGTTGCCATCTCTTCCATTTTGGGAGTCGCCGCCCCCTCCTCGAGACCCCGTGTTGTGCATCTTGTCGCCTGTTCTTCTGTCGACATAGTATTGCTGGGTCGTCTCTCGGAGCCGAGGAAACAATCGAACCAGCAGCAGTCGGAATGACGGCAAGCAGACGCATATCATACTGACATTGATCTCAATGTCGGACCAAATACCAACATCAAAGAAGTCCCAGGTTGGATTTTCGGTGCTATAGGAGAAGGCGATGAGTGATCTCAGGCGCAGAATGCTGACAATCGTTACACTACCATTGACATGCAAGTCAGCTAAAAAAAAAAAAAAAAAAGACGTCACGCTGTACCGCATTCGAGATTATGGGAAAACGTACAATGCGCCCACGGAAAACATGGCGGCCACTCCGGCCTTCTTTTTCCATCCTAGCCTGAGAGTCCTCAGCTGCCACAGCGGAATAGCCAGCATCCAAACATCCATCGATATGCTGATGATGGCATTCGACCACGTTATTGCGTTGATATTCAGGCACTGGCCCTTGTGTTCGCCGTCCCACATGACCCAGAAGTAGTTGACGGGCTTGCACTGGAAAATGGCAACCAGGACAAAAGCCAGGCCAAAGGCAATGTCGAAAGCAATGGTGCCCCAGAGTAAGCGTTGGACATTTCTGCTCGGGAAGATGCGCATGTAGAAGAAGAGCAGTGCGAGCTTGGCAAGCGACACTTCGGCCAGGTAAATGATTTCGTCTATGTAAAAGTACAGGCTAAACTTGGTGATTTGCTCCGGCGTTAGGGTCCAGATATCCCGGCCGATGCCATTGTCGGTAAGGAAATGAGCGTTAATCACGGTACTCGGAATGCCCGCCACCAGAGTGAGCAGAGTACACCAGTCGTCGAGGCCCAGCTCAAGGCGCGCGTAGAATTTGTATGCGAACCGTTGCACGATAAATAAGGCGGCTATGATGACGAGCGTATTGCTGACAATCTGGTACGTTGCGGCCTTGTCTCTCATCGGTCGATTACACAATGTCTGTGTCATGTTCATCGTGGCTACCAGGTCTCGGCGGTTAGTCTTTTTCATCTTTTTTTTTTTTATTTTGACCCTCGCAATTCGCGACATACCCAAACCCTGTTTGATTGTGCAATTCTTTTTGACGCAGCTCGTCATCTCCTCGTTGATCGTCCTGCTCTCGCAAATACATGTCTGGTCCGCCAGCTTGCAAGGCGAGTGGGATACAATCGCGAACAGACAGTCCATCTAGATCAAGCCGCCCAAGTGTTATGATACAGTCGACGTAGACACGATACAAACGGTTTCGGGCAACCTGCACTTACTGCGCATTCCGGCATGTCGCCAATCGCAGCCAGCGACGGGTTTGTATCAGCGGAGCGGGAGAGCTGGACAAAGGCCAGCCCGGCCAATACTCGAGATATCGCCACCATTCTTTCCCTTGCAAAGCTTGACCTTTGTCTATTTCGAAGCCAAATTGCGACGATGTCAAAGGTGCAAGGCGCGGAGAAGACGAATTTGGATCGTGAAAACAACAAGAACGAGGGCGGCCGCTACAATGGCCACATCGTCACCCATCCGTCCATCCACAAACAATGGAAACACGAAATATTTTACAGGAGGGTTAAAAAATGTAGATTGGTCCCGAGGCAGACGAGTAGTTTCCAGACTTGCGCAACCCCGAACCCGCCGTCGTTCCAGATTCACGGCACAGGTACTATTCGTACATGGGGAAAAAGCAAACAGGCAGGGATTCCGGGCGAATCGGGCCCAGGGAATCATTCAGCTGCAGAATGCGTCAACATGTGCATCTCGCGGTTGGAACTTTCTGCAGGCTAGAGGACCTGGAGACATGCCAAAGTCCCGAACGGGAACCTCTTCCGTGTGGTGTGGACCATTTTCTGGATGCAGGGGCGGCCTTTACACACAGCATACATGCAGTCGACGGAGCGGGTGAAACCTGTGAGAACCATGACCGCTATGTACATTGCACGATAGGGCGCAACTGACGTCCACGTCCGATTTAACGACCAGACGTTGTCCTTTCCCGAGTGGTGTGGATGCCTTGTCCGGCCCAGCATCGTGGCCAAGTCTCAAGCTTCCCGTCGCCAAGCCGTGGGTTAGCTGGAGAAGTTGGATCGGCCTCTACGCTCCTGGATTCTGATGCCGATGCTCGCCGATCCGCACTTCCTTGCAACTGCATGTGACGCCGAGCACCCTGCATCCGGGGATGGAGACTGTGCTGGGACCGGGCAGGATTTTGCACCGGCAATAAGGCATTAGAGGGCCGGCTGCGAGGCACGGGTTCAGATGCGGCCACATTACTATCGAGTTGGCGGCGGAACGGTACAGCCAGGGCATGGTTTTTCGATGAAGCTGCCATGTTCGCCCCTGGGACGCGGTTGGTCGCATCACCATCATGTCAAACCATTAGCGCCATCGGCCAACTTGAGATGCGGTCGGGTGGGCCTGCAAAGCGAAGTAGTATCCGGGGTTCCGGGTAAGAATTTTCTATGTCATCCCGCAGCATCTATAGACCAGACTGTTGAAACTCTGGTCCGCGGGGGTCGCTGCAACGGGTCGGCGCAATTACCCTTCTTGGCAAGACTGGACATGACTGTTGGAACCGCCGAGTTGGGTTGGGCTGTTTGTTCCCACGCTATTATTACTCTCTAGACTGTTTACACTCACCCAGCCGTCCCAGGGGATGAGAGCAGCGCGACCGTAGTTCTTGATTGAGGAGCGCCCAACATACAATGTACGAATGTACGAATGCACTAATGCGCTCTGTAACGAAGGGCTGCTTGCTCATGTTCCACAGCGGCAACGGCATCCACTCCGGCTACATGGAGCCGAGTGTCTGGATCGATTACAGATTGGCGACTTTGTTAGCCTCTGGCCCGATGAATGTGTTTGGTTTGACCACCGATGCGCGGTTCGGGTTAAAGACGGGCTGAAAGACTGATATATAGACAAATGGTCACCACAACCCTGCTATTCGGCTTTTCTCGTAGCATAACAGGGCGTCCGCTTCATGTCTCGGCTCCTTGGCGAGATGCTCCTGTTCCTACTCCTATTCCTATCAGGTCCATTGTGCGTACGTACTCCTTCATGAATAATGTGCCACGGCCCTACCTTGATGGGAGCTCGCGAGCTCGCGCCTGTGAAATATAGCGCGGGCCATGAAGGCAACCCATAAATACTTCAAGGCGGAAACTCTTTTACAATTGTCGCATCAGGCCTGTCTTGGTGGGTTGGACAAGAAGACTTGGCACAATGGCTACACGTCTTCAAGTTGTCGACATCACAAGTTCAAATGGTCCTGATTTCAGCAGTTTACAAGTCTTTTAAGATCAAGAATAAACGATAGGAACCTTTCTGAAGGGTAGAAAAGAGAAGAATAAATTTCAAAGACAAGCCTGGTTGACAGTGAGTCTTATGAAGTGACAATACACAGTATGTCTCACCAGGGGTGGAAGCGTTTCCGATTGGCACTCGCAATGTACTGGCTATGGAACGACATTTCAATTTTAGCATAGGATTGTGAAATCACATGCAGACCTTGGCGTCTATGCGCATTACAAGACTCGAGTCATTGCTGTTCTCTGGCCTGGGTACGGCCGGGCTGTACTCCGTATTAAGTAAAATCCAGTCAAGCGTTATTTTTCCTTCAAAGGTCGAAGAAGATAGAGCTTGTTCTTATATGCCAAAGGCGCTGGATACCTGCTATGCAGCGAGATAAAAGCAGTGACTTTATTAGCCTTGAAATACAAAATCTCGTCGCAAGAATATTGCATGGAGCATAATAACAAGCGGACCTTACGTGGCGAAAGATTATGCAGTGTGATCAGTTAGGGATGAATTGACCTTGCTTAGGTCAAATGACAATTCTGGACTGTTTGGTGGCATCAAGTTCCACCAGACATAATATAACTCAAGCTTTAAGTAGTTATTGCCATGTTGCAGGATAGTTCGCATCAACTACCACGGAGAATTGCGCAGTTACTACCTTTACTTGACATCGTTTGGCTCTATATAGCCCCAAAGTATAATATTACCCGCTAGTAAATTTGCATGGCTCTAGTTCGTGTTATGCATTACTGCTTGCCGTCTCGAACTGCATTTCTCTAATTCGACAAGCCACAAAATACAAGTCATTGGAAAAGCATGTTTCTTTACTATTTCGGCATAAGAGCGGTTATCCAAGGGTGCGTATACTATTAAGCTATTAAAGCTGCCCTGCGGCATTTACCTAGATAACAGGCTTTACAAATATGCCCAAGTAGTGTCATATTGCCGAGAAGCAGTAAGCCTTATGCCATTTCGGACTTTGCCTATAGTATAGTCCCTATGTACAGTTTAACCATTAAACCGACAGACTATTTAGTTAAATACTCGCGTATGCCCCCGCCGCATAATAATATCGTGGACTCTTGGTAAGTAATTCGTAATCAAGTCATTGCTTGTCTGTACGCATTAACGCCGAGCGGCGCTGGCAGCTAACATCCTAACGTCGCTGACGCTCGTGCACTCCATAAATCGAGATCTGGGTATCTTGGCCCTGTCCCCGACCAGTATCTTCTTCTTTAAACCTTTGTTCTTGTTTCCTCTTCTTTTTTATGCTACTAAAGAGTGACCTGACTAGATAGCCTATACTCGAGGTATCACTTGAAGACTCCATGCTGGTCGCATAAGAGACGTCCCACTGCTTACAAGACAGGGACTCACTTATGCAGGCACGGGACCATCATGCAGCGCGCTTGTATCAAAGAAATACGATATATCGATTTCATGAGGAGAGAGCCGGGGCTAACAGCCTGTCCACCAGAGACGGGACGATGACTGCCATATACCGCGTCCCTAACGCACCCAACTGCTTGAGCCTGCCATGAGATGACAAACTTCATCAAAGTCCAGGGACAACGGCGACGCCATACGTGCAAAAAAATGAAAAGATGAATTGAAGAATTCACTGCTTTAAGCCAGTCAGAAATTTAGACTTGTTTTGGGTGTACAAGAATGTCTATCGTGACGATACCTTGTCCTACGTAAAGGGATATGTAGTTGGTGTTATTTTATTCGCAGTAAGTAACAAGAATAAGACACACTGTAATCAGAGTTCAGCGATATACACCAATATTTGCAGTTGCATCCTTGTCATTTAAAAATATCTCGGTGCGGCGGGCTATTGCGCCATGAATGACATCTGGAGCCTGATGCTCATCCCACTGCAAAACCCGGGGCATTCCCGCAATGCCTGGAAAGGTGTGCAGAAGAATTGACAGCATTTTAAACCCCAGCAATACGGAACTGGGTCTGTCAAGAAATTCTCTAAGCGTCTAAGTAGGTAGAGGGAGAAGCAAAGTTCTACGAAAAGCATTCCTTCTCGTATAAGCGCCGACAAGAATAGAAAAAAAGAGATGACCGAGATTAAGCAGCATATCTACTTTCCTGAGTTTACGCATAATATCACAAACCTCTATTTGCGTATTACCTCGGAGTCCTATTCCAGGCGCCGCAGCTGGTAGGCGATATGGAAGCCGCCCGCGAACAATTATATTTGTCTGCACGGCCTTATTAAAATAATCCGCAAATGTGATTTACTCCAAGCAATTATCAGCCAAGAGCAGGGTACCAACTTGGACGTTTGTCTTGTGAGGATAAGTCTTGTAATAGCCGAGAGACTAATATTTAATCATCTCCTATCCTTAAAAATTACATTTCCATTGTATTTATACAATTCAATACTAGGTTTTCCTATAAATACAAATCCACTTGTGCTGTATAATTCCTACAGTCCTTCATATAAGCTTAAGCGTAGTCCATGTCAATCGAATTAAAATGTTACAGGTAATTCTTGTATGCCAACGTCTTTATGCAGAGGTGTATACTTAATCTCAGGGATTGGCACAGAAATCTTGAGCTTGGGAAGCTGCTGGAACAGAGTCGCTAATGGTAATAACATGGTCAGCACCTCTCCACGCTGTAGACTCTTCATGATTAATTGTTGGAGGAGAAATCTTACAAAAGACAGTCGTCAGCTCCGCCTTGGCCAGACCCTCTGCAATGCATCGATGCTCGCCGAAGCCGAAGCCGAGCGCATCTTGGCTCGGCCACTTGCGGTGCATGTCGAACTCGTCTGGTCGTGTAAATATCTCTTCATCTCGATTAGCCGACTGGTTCGACGCGATAACGCCCTCGCCCGCCTTGACAAGCTGTTAAAGGGTACTCATGTCAGCATGTAAACGTTCCCTTGTATATACCGGCGTTTTGAGTTACTACCTTTCCCCCGATTTCAATGTCCGTCATGGCTGTCCGCTTAATGGCCATGGCAGAGGCAGTGTGGTAGCGACACAGCTCTTCCACAAATGCAGGTGCAAGTGATGGATCAGCCGTCAGCTCAGCAAGTTGAGTAGGGTGCTGGAAAAGCGTCACGACACCCTGCCGGGTGTTAGTCACAGAAATGATGGCCAAGTCTTCGACGGCATGTACATACGAGCGCTATCATATTCACCATGGTCGCATTCCCTGCAACGAGAAGCAGGAACGCATTCTGAACAACATCGGCCTTGGAGATGTTTCCAGGAATCATTTGCTCCACTACCAGCTTGCTGATGAGGTCGTCCTTTGGGGCCGCAGCCCGCAGATCGACCAGCTTTTCGAGATACTCGAGAAGTCCCCTACCAGCAACATTAGCTCTTTGTCGCAACCACTCTCCCCTTTGCTCGCGTGTTCAGTGGCTCATACTTGCTAGCGGCTGATGCCTCTCTCGCGGATGCACTGCCATTGGTGCGGATAGCATTTTGCTCTGTGAGAAACTGAAGGTCTTCGAACGGGACTCCGAGAATGCTGTAGATGATCTAGAACCATGATTAGTAAAACGCAAGTCGGCGCTACCGTGGGAGCCGCTTTACAAATGAGGGCACTGGAAGTGCGAATTCCTTGACCAAGTCAACGGGCCCAGAGGCACACCCTTTGGTTTTCAACGCATCGAGGAGATCATCCACTGTCTTCTGGATATATGGCTGCAACGACTTGATATACTCGGGGGTGAAGAAATGGTTCACCATGCTCCTATAGGGGCTTGTTAGACAATGGAACCTGTGCACTGGACGAGTTACCTGCCTGTGTTTCGTGTGCTCTGGGGGGTCCATGTCGACAAACGTCGGTTTGGCCTTTGCCGCCTCTTTGCCACCGGCACTTAGCTCTGGGAAACCCGGACGCGTCCTAATCTTGAGCCACATGTTAGCCGTACATACAAAGTAAAAGCTTTTGTTCACGTGTCGGTGCGTCTTTACCTTGGACAGCCTGTTATCCGTTGCCACAAAGGTCACATCCTTGTACTTGGTTACTAACCAAGCAAGGCTCCCGTCAAAGAGCTCAACCCTCGACACCGGATCAGTGGCCCGCAGACGAGCATATTCGGCGGGAGGCTCCATGCCTGACGCCCTCAGGAAAGGGAATTTGGGTGGGCTAGCCATTTGGCCACAAGTGTATGCGAAGCCCCTTGCTTGTGCACAACGCGCTGGGACCCGGACGGCTAACACAGCTGGGTGAGGTCGAATAGAACTTCGTAGGCAGGACATGTATATGGCCTGATTCGATATAATGTGTACGCGCACTGTAATTTTTCTTGGAATGACTTTCGGGACTTGGTCGTAATGGAGTATTTGCGGGGAAAATAACATGTTGCGAAACGTCGGCCACGACGACGGTATTTATAGCGAGTGTGACCATCAATAATGGCGGCACATATTTGTAATAAGTCGCCATGGTGGCAAGTATGCGCATTGAAATGCCTCACTCTGGCCAATGTTGTGTAACAGAGTTGCGGCCCGTTGATTGGTTTGGCATGCCTCATGATCGTATGACACTCTCGACCAGTTTCCAAGCCAATATCAGACTAGGCATTAATAAGAATCGTTGCATCGAGCCGGGATACTTGTTTTCCAAAGACTCAGCAAGATTCCGGGATCAGACGGGGCAGTTGCCGTCGCTCAAGCCTGTACCTTGTAGTCTGGTTGAACACCTTGCCCTTCGTGCAGCCCTGTATCATCGTGTTTGCAATTCCGCGGCCAGACGGCAAATCGATCGGGCTGGATTGTCCACTATTGACCCACTCCTTGCCCAGTTCGTTTGGCTTTACTTTATTCCTTGATGTCGATAGTATTGACCAACGATTCGAGCATGACAATGCCCACTTCACTGTCAAGGTATTTCCTGACAAAAGTTTTTAACTTTCCTTTGACTGGAATCCACTATTCAGACGAAGAGAAGACGAGGCGACCCTCCGTACACGATTCAGCTTCAACACTTCACACGATCAAATGTAAGTGTGCTAGTCAGCCGTGACGGCATGTCTACGGGAGCCGTCGGGAAATATCGGCCGTTGTCACTACCCTTCCCCAAGGTCGTATCGAAAAAGGTTCCATACGCAAATAAGTATACTTGCGCGGAGATGCATATTCCATCCGCAAGAGGCCCGTGATTTCTTGCATGCAGGTGACTCAGGGTCAACAGCGAATCACGCTGGGCGCATTAACTTGTCTACAGGCCAAGACACGTGGTTTTCTCCAAGCATGAAGAAACTCTGCCATTCCCTTCGCCTTGATTGGTGCGTATGAACTGGGATGGATCAAAGACGGCCCCATGAGGACTAGTTGCCGATGCATTAGTTATGGGAGGCGGATTTTGACAACCCTGATGTCATGCGAGGGCTACGATCACGGGACCTAGGGTAGGAGACCCTCACCGGCTTCTGGTTCTTGAATTTGTAAAGAGCTCTTTGGTCAATTCGGTCTTGAGGAAGACCAAGGACCTTGAATACTAAAGGCTGTTATTAAATGAATTGAGTCATAATACTTTAAGCCTTTGGCCCTAGGCACATTTGAACACCCGCATTTGCTGCCACGTGTTGAACATGGGAGCACGGGACTAGCCGTTCTTAGTCGAGCTGCGGAAATCAGCGCATGGCACGGCCCCTGGGATCGGATGCGAGATCACGAGATCACGAACCCGACATAATAAAGGCGAATATTTCCGTTGTTCCGAGAGTACGCGCATCATATCCTGTCCATGTTTGGACAGGGGTTGACGCATGCCATTATATTTTCAGGCGCGACCAAATTTGGAATTTTTGTCATTGACTGTCTGGGGTGCCGGAGGCATCTCCTGACGGTCAAGGTTCCAACACGTGTAGGCATAGGTATCAGTCACCTTTGACAGTTTTAAGACTTTTATCACCCTATTTTTAGGTTTTATAGGGGAAAATGGCCATGGGAAAAATACATCTTTGGGCTTGATAGTTTTCATCATCTTCTTTAGCAATAACTACCCTGAAGCAATTCCGCTGTAAAGGCCATTTAATAGATAGCGTCATCAATATACCTAGGATTCTGTACCTCGGGATGGAGTTCTGTAGCCAATACCTCTGTAAGCATAGAGTGTGTAAAAAGAGTTAATACTTATACTCAGTGAGAGTTTCCTCCGGAATTTCCTCCCCTCCCCGTGAGCAATCATCTTATCCCAACCGCACTCAGCCTTGTTCATCATCTCGTGTTGCCACACTTTGATTCGCGGCTTGCACGGGCATACATCACATGAGCCCGGGAGACACCGACGCCCCAATAGAAAATCTAATGTTGGAATAATATCAGTACCTCTCAACGACTTTTCGGCCTTGGAGAGTGAATTACCTCGTCCCCTTGGCTTCCTTGTATGCTGGTCCTTTGGTGCCTTGTATCCTCTGCGCTACCATCTTATTAGACGCAACAGCTACAGCCTAGTGAGTCAAACTTACCAATGTCGTCGAGATGCTTGGGAGAATTGCCCTCTGTCTGTTCCCACCATGCACGCAGCATCCAAGCTGACACGAGTGCGTCGCGATCCTCGGTGGTCGTTTTCCCATGGAGCATGAGGCTTCTGTCAGACTCTGTAGCCAACAGGCAGCGCTCTGCATTGCGCCATTCATAGTCTACATCTCTCTTTTTCCCTGGCACTGCCGAGAATAGCAGGTCGGAGTGCTTCTCGCCGTCGGGCGTTGACTGGCTAGCCCGGGAAAAGTTGAAGCCCTTTTTAGATGAAAATCGGCTGGGGCGAAAAAGCTGGAGGGTGAATGAACACAAACCGGTTTGTTCGTTGTGTTTGGCGTAGAAGCTGACGGGCGTCGCGGTATCTGGGGACCGACACACTAAATCAAAGATGTGGCAATGCGAAATTGTAGCTGGAGAGCCGTCGCCGTTGTCTTCTTTTTCGGACACGCCCAGCCGTTCAACTCGTACATTTTGATTCGTATTGATGAGATAGTTCAGTGAGTGGGACAACTTGTATAGTTTGCATGCTTCGTCATCACCGGCGCAGATGTAGCGCCCTTGAACACGGAGCGTTGTTGGAAATACAATTTGACATGGCTCGTCGATCGGCATTTGGCAGTTGTGCTTGTTAACACGGATAGTGTCAACGGAACAGAAGGGCTGGTACAATTGCTCAGTAATAGAACGCGTTCTTTTTCCTGACAGATCGTAATTTAAAATAGTGCTTCCTAGGACGTTGCAGGATACCAGAGAACAACAAGTATATGGGGAGGCTCGCCGCATTATATGTCCTTTTCAAAAGATTTGCATAGGGTGGCTGATGGTCTGAAAATCATGGTTCGGCCCGCATAGCCACTATCTTGGCAATGGGTCGGTGTAGGTTATGACCACACAACGTCGCCATTTTCGGGGCGAAGCACACGCTGCCCGGTCACGCGGGCGACAACGTTGCTTCATGGCAACTTGGCAGCGACAACATAACGGGTCTGCCAGACGAGCCTATTATCTTCGGTTGTCCTCTATTCTCGAAGAGTCATGGAGAACCAGCATGTGGTTGCACCATCCAGGTCAACTTCAGTACAGTAGCGGGCCTAGAAAAGACTCTGATTGATTTGCAACAGTGTCAATATTGTTACCAAAGTGTAGCTTGTGCAGCCAAAGCGCGAATAATGCCATGAATATTGCAGCGTGACGCGCAGTGCAATCTGAGAAATGATACAGGAATAACTGTCTGAAATGCTCGCAGTCACCTTGAAAGCAATCGAGTTAGTTGAGCAAGTGCCACATACTATCCGATATCTGCCAGAGGTTTGAGCTGAAGAGTTTGGGGACTATCTTCGTGGCTCGGCGGCCAAATCCTGACTGAAAAGCAGCAGTGAGGGATTCCGACGGCGGTCTAGCTGGACCTCCTCATGCAAGAGTTGCAAGCAGCTCAGTAATAGGCCCTGATGATGCTGAACTATAATCAATAATAGACGTCGTGTTGAGGTCGTCATCGACATGGAGGTTGCCGACGTCAAGGTCTGTGACAAGGGCCCAATAGAGGGCTCAGAGCAATTTGGCTCAATTCAGCTAATAACAGTCTTTGGTATCAAAGGTCCTTGGTTTTCCTCAAGGCCTCGGTCGCCAAAGACGTCTTTAAATACAAGAAGTCGGTGAGGGACTTTGCCCTAGGTCTCGTGACCGTAGCCCTTGTGTAACCATCCATTTCCGTGTAACAGGATCAGAAAGGGTGAAGCAGCCCTCAAGTGTGGAAGAAAGGGAGAGTATCATTTCAAAGAAGAACTGCCCTGCAATGCAGTGGAACAGTCGAGTCATATTATGATTGATTTTCTGGCTAATAGTGACCCCTTCATTCCAGCGGCGCGCTGCTGTCCTTGAGGAACAATGCTCCTACCAGACGATATACTCCCTGATAGCCCGGCTCATGAAGCTTGGTTCCGCTCACCGCTGTCTGTAAATGCTGAAAATGGAGATTTGATGAGTGAAGCAACATGTCTGCCGACTCGGAACGGCCACCTCGAGACTTTACCGCTTTTGCATGAGAAGACTGCTGCTCAAACCGGCAGATGACTGACTAGGACGTCGTGAACGTAGATGACAACAGGGCGGCACAGAAAACGCAGGCGCGATTTTGCTAGGGCCCTGTCCTCTTATATGATGCAGTAAATGACGCCTGGCAGTATGTATTGGTGATCATATCTCACTGCAGCCATTTGCAGGTCGGCCCGGGCCTTGTCATGACCAAAGCAAGAAAGCATACCCCTGCGACATTAAACAAAACCTAATATACGTAGGCTGGTCGAAACCTGACCCGCCTTACGCTTAAAATCTTCGTACTTTTATATTAGGTGTTCGGTGTGACAAGGGCTACTATCATCTCTTTGACTCCGATTTGGCTTGTGGGGCCCCGCCCACTTATAGGCTATAAGAGACCGTCTGAGCATATAATATTAGCCAGGTAAATGAATAATTAATGTATATAGTAATTTATACTTAATTAGATAAATTACTCTTTGTAAAAAGGTGTATTATTTATTGTTTTTTATAGCTAGAATTAAAGCTATTAATTAATATAACAGAAATTCGTATCATCTAATACAAAGGTGCCTAGCTTTCCGTGCAAGATTAGGTACTGCAAATAGAGTGGGACCGCTACCTGACTAGCATCTTATCATTCGTGAAACGTTCGGTCAATATCGAGCATAATGCGCGTAAATTACATGAAAGCCAAGCGCCCCCCACTCAGGCAGGGGTCATGACAATACTCTCGGTTGTAGTCCCATCAAGAAGCTGCATTTATACCAATTTAGCCGTGGTACCTGCTATCCATTGTGGTGTCAGGAATACAGCCCAGGACATCTGGTAATAGCCCGCGGGTTCGCAACAAGCTGACTCTCGGGCACCGCGAACCTACGGGACGGTTGGCCTCTCGTCCCAATTGTGCAAAGTTCCAAGTCAGCTGGCAATGTCAATGTTCTGGTGTGTGCCTTATTCGGCCGCAGGGGGGCGTTTAGGCTTGTGAAAAACTGGCTTGTGCCACGCTGTCCATATTGCTAGTCATGTATAGTATCGACCCTTGCTTTGTGTTTGATTGCTCTACCGGTTGTTACTGCTCTCGAGTCAGATGCTCCCACCGGCAGCGCTGACATTTGTGGGGGGCGGGTCAGTAATATGCTTTTCTTAGAAAGCATTGACCGTCATGCTTAAATTGCTGTCTATTTTAACCGACTATCCAATGCACTATATTCTGTCCGGGTTTTTAGTTATAAGTCGCAAGAAATCCGCCAACTCGATCCATATTCCACTCACAGTTTCATCTCTCTCGAATTACCCTACAAATCTCCCAAGGACAATTTTTACTAGCATATTACCATGAAGCTCTTGGCTGCGACTATTGCTCTTTCCGCACTTGCTGCGGCTGTTCCGCAGCGCCCAGACATGTTATACATGGTTACAGGACCTTGTACGGACCTTAGAAACACTATTTGCGTAAGGGGTTCCTACTAGTGCGCCCTTGAGGTCTTGACAGTATACTAAACTCTAGAGATGTAGCGCGTAAATGACATGGTAGAGGATCCTAACGTCAAGGGCAACCGCATTAGCTGTCGCTTTTACCAAGGCGAGGTAAGAGAAGTTATAAAAGACACAAGAATATACTAAATTATACTAACACACTTCTTCTAATAGAAGCAAGATGACCTTCTCTGCCAGGTTAATCAGTTGTCAAAGGGCCAACAAGTAAGCCGTCTTTCAAAGTCAAATTCTTCATGGACTAACCCGTAATTTCTTCCAGGCGAAAGACGACGCTTCAGAGATCTGTGGCGCACTGGGCGGTGTAAGCATCCTGGCTGTATTTCCCGGCAAATAAATATAAGACTTGGTTGTACTAATACCGCGCGACGCTTTACAGTGCACTTGCGCGTGGTCGACTACGGAGAGAAAGATTCGCAAAAGAATCGGCGGCCGAATCGTTGGTACCCCCCTCATAACATTGAAGGCAGCATTGGATGCGTGCTGACACTAGCTACAAGGTCAATTTCAATTGTCTGCCGAACCCCAAGTCGAAAAACACTGTAAGTTCATAGATGAATACTAACACCTTTCCCTTTACATGGCTTATCTTACTCACACTATGGGAAAATGTAGCCTGCAGCCAGGGAACAATTCCTTAAATCAATTGATGAGGCTGCGGCCACGGCGTGTAGATCAGACCAGGACGAGTCTACTTGTCAAAGTTACAAGTTGGATTGCCTTCATACGTGGTCCGAGGGTGAACATGAGGACCCTATTACCCCAGATGAAGTCGAGAGGTGTGTCCGCGACAGGATCCGGGAGAATCGCGCACCCAGCACCGCACGTTAGAGCAGCGCTATTACACCGAGTGCCCCGACTTGGATACTCAAGTGCTACTTGACTTTTACTTTCATCAAACTTACCACGTATCAACTACGTTTTCACGAACTTGGGATAAGCTTCGAGCTTACTTAAGCGTTTTATAGACACATATGTAGGCAAATAAATTTATCTGCCCAATCATCTTAGTCTATACGAGTAGACCTCGGGAACCAAGATTGAAATATGAGCTTTTAAATACGTGAGCGTAGCGAGATAGTTCATGGGTCGCTTTATGCCAGGAGCCCCTCTGGAGGGCAAGATGGAACGGACCTCGAGGATTTACGGGAAAGACTCCGTTGAACGGCCCCAAAGCTTGTTCGTGAGGAGGAGTTTGATGTGGCTTGCTAAAAGATGCCGTGGACGCTGGGATCTGGTTCTTTTCAAGCCAAACAGCGCTGAGCGCCCAAGGGTGTGCTTTCCAACAAGGCCACGGCTGAGTCTGCCGAGACCAAGAACATACCGCCTTATAACGTGGTTAGCTATCGTTTAAGTTTGCTATGCTCTACACGCTGGCATTATCACGTACAGGATACACGACCACTGCTTGTTGCTGACATTTGTAGAGAAAACCCAGAGCCGCTGAGCTATGTAAAACTCTTTTAGCTTTGTGTCATGTCTTGACTTTTCGTGACCTGTGACACGGCATTCGCTCCGATTAGGTGCTCAGAATATTCTTGGACGCCGAAACATGTGGTGAGTTGACAATTGCCGACGGGCAAAGCATGTGGCTGGAAATTGTCCAAAGGAAGCTTTATTCCCATGGGAAACCTACTGCCGCATCTTGTCGGATCGGGGGATGCAGCCCGGCCAACACTTATATAAGTCCGCCAGAGCGATTGTGAAAACACTTATGTTGCAGCCAGAACAACATCCAGCGCCCATCTTTACTCCTCAGCAAGAATGCGACACACTACCGCAATGTTAGCTATCGGGACATGTGTCCTTTGGCTGCTCGTGGCGGCCTCCGCAGCACGTCTCGACGAACAGCATCTCTTGTCACACGCAAATATCGAACATGGGGCTTGTAGAATTTCGAATGACTGCGACTTCGATTACTAATGCCATCACAACAGATGTCAAGCTGGATGAGATCGTGATCGACGATGCAAGCAGCCCACCGGGGCCTGCCGCACAAGATCTGTTTGCTCGATAATATGTGCGCCTCGGGTTGCCGCGCGAACCAAGACTGCGCAACAGGCGAAATATGCTCTCTTACTGAGTTCCAGAGCCGTCCTACCTGTGACCTGAGGCGAGGAGGCAGTCTATGCACCGGCACGAATAAACAGATTGCATTCTTCCCCGGCACCTTTACCCAAGACCAGTGCGATGCTGCATGTAGAGAGGCTTCAATCAACTGCCGGTCGTTCGCAGTGGCTGCGGAAGGCCGTATGGATGCTATCTCTATACTTTCAGCGTTTCAGTTTGTCACGGCGAACGGGTGCAAGTAACTGGGCCTATTATGACAAGAACTGCGAGGCATACGATTCAATTTAAAATGGGCTGCAAAGGAATCATATGACTGTTACGAGGAAAAGTGAGATAATTTTAGGTATTGTCTAACTATAAGGTGGTAGGTTTCTGAGACAATTTTATATGTATCGCATCAAATGCTTTTGAAACCTCGCTACACTCGGTAGTATCAACAACTAATCATGTCTAATAACAGCAGTCAAATATCCATAGCATATTATCTGAATGAACCAGAGCAGCTCTGCTGCCACTTGCCCAAGGAGGTTAGCTCATATACTTGTTGAGGAGCGACAGCAGCGAAAGCGTTTCTGTTTTGCTAAAGACCGTCCATATTACGACAAGGCATAACTGAAGCGATACAATGCTTCGAGTCAGGGAAGGAGGGTGTATTTCTATTGCTCTGAGATTCTAACCGACTTAGCACGAGTCGGGAGAGTACTTCGTTCTGCAAAGAGGTCGATAAAGGTTATGGAAATGGCTGATTTTGCCATGGATATCGTGTGGCTTGCTCCTTCAGCCTGCGAGCTCTCTTTCACACATGCACATGTAGCTAGAAAGTAATAGCTCTGGCCTTACTATTGGGTCCAATATTCTCTCCATATTCTTCCCCACGCCTGGGACAGAGCCTCGGGCTCCAAAGCCACTCTTTCGGAAGTTTGGGACGTCATGGAGACTTTACAAGATGTTAACCCCTTCCATGTGTACTGGAATTTCAAGGACGAAATACGACGAGGCTTTCAACACCTCCAAGCAGGCAGATGCGTCAACAAACGGTGCCATGTTGGCTTAGCAAAGTACAGCCTAAGCTTTTGACTCATGATTTGCATGTCGTCCTATTAGCGTACAACTGCGGCCGACTTGTTCTTTATCATTGCCACGAATAAGCCCTCTAAGTCCAGGGCACTATTCAAGCTGTAAAACATGAATTGATTGCACAGTAGAAGAGACACACAAAGCAGCGCAACTTGGTGTGACAAGGGTTCAGTGTGAAGGGTTAGAGCAAAAGGGGCTCAATTTAATAATAATCTCGAAGGGTCTCTAAGGTCTTGAGTTACTACAAGAAAGGAACAGAAGAGTAACCGCCTTATATACATAAAAGGAACGCTCAGGCCTAGGGTCCTTACCCAGGCACGTGTTCTAGCTATGTAACTAATAAGTCCTGTATCGGCGAAGCCCCTTTATTCGGCTTCACGATCTTGTTGGGCATTTTCCGTGTAGCACTTGGACTTCCCATACCTTCATCAGGGGAGCGCTTCAATGACGTTATAACAGCAGCTAGATTTGGCAGCCTTCACCGCTAGCCCCGATAGCTAGTCTCCATACGAGCGGTAACGACAGTATATTGTGCTATTTAGCAAATTTTTCGAAATGTCTACATAGGAAACTATCTTCAGTTTTGCGTTGACCCTTCATTCTTTCTTCATGTTATAGCATCCCTGAACCGCAATGCCTTGAATCATGAACCCTACGCCCCATGGTACTTCGAGCCATCACTAAACTTCTTGTTGGCCTGTCCATTGTCCGTTAACCATAGTATTATAGAAAAGTTGGCCAGAATTCCCCTGGCCTCGATAAAAGCAGTACATGACGTTTTGAAAGAAAATGGCAGATGGCCCGTCCGACATAGACGAAGCAGTCATTTTTTGATCGTCTTGCCAGCCGTTCTGAGTCCAGAAATTATACCAAAGTTCGCCATTTTCATTGTAACCTTGGTGAAAACAATAGAGTGTATTGTTGAGGACGTTGACGGCTGATGGCCCAGCGGATAGGAATGTTTTAGTGACTCTCTGATCGCCTTGCCAGCCCTCTGCACTCAAGATGTTATACCAAAGCTCACTACTGTGGCCGATCGCTTGATGGAAGCAATATAAATAGTTGCCAAAAACGACGGCTGACGGCCCAGCGGATAGGGTTGTGTCGGGGACTACTTGTTCGTCCTCCCAGTGGTCCCCATCTAAAACGTTATACAAAAGATTGCCAGTATCACCACTGCTTTGGTGAAAGCAATAGATTTTGTTGTTGAAAACGACCGCTGATGGCCCGGCTGATAGGGTTATCCCAGGGGCTTGCTTGTCGCCTTCCCAAAGTCCCCCATTGAAAACATTATACCAAAGCTCGCCATTACCACTGCCGCTTTGGTGAAAGCAATAGATTTTGTTGTTGAAAACAACGGCTGATGGTCCGGCTGTTAGAGTTGTTCCAGGGACCTGCTGTTCATTTTCCCAGTACTGCCCAGTCCAAACTGCATACCAAAGTCCGCCAGAGTTCCTGCCGGCACCTTGGTAGAAGCAGTACATCCTGTTGCCTAGAGCAACAACGGATGGGGAGGATGAAATTACAGGCATGATGAAAGTGGTTTGTAGTATGAAGAAGATTTCGTTTAGGCCAAATCTTTAACTAGCCAGGCGTACAAGCTCTGCGTGGGATGGCAAAGGTCAATGAGATTTAGGCTTGGAATGATTTTCAACTCAGTGTAACAATAGTCTTTGGTGTGTAAAAGGTCCTTGGTTTTCGTTTGCCCTTGGTGGGCTAAAGAGACCTTTTTATAATAAGAATCGGTCAGTCTCTTGCTGACCAACTTCCTGAGGCCCGAGGCCTTTGCCCAAGTATCGTTGAGGTCACGGTTCGATCCGTGCTTTTGTTATTGTATGATGATGCGGTGCGACATACGATAGAGTACATCTCTCTTATCCAATTTGTTTCCTTGCAACACAAAGTTGGCCGAGTTTTGCAGCCGTAATTCAATGCTACGCTAGTGGTCTTAAACACTGCGGGCACCTATCATAGAGGAAAGCAGATAGACAAGGTCCATCACGATGGCGTAGCTGAGACGTGGATAGTAGTAGCCTCCTGACTCGTGAAGCGAATAATGACAGTTATGCAGTAGGCAGAAACATGACATTGCCTGCAGCAGCGACCAATATTCACTATGGGCTCTAGAATGCTGTATCAAACATGACAACACGACATCTGGACTTGTCACCTGCATCCCACTGCATGTCAGCCGCCAGCGCAGCCTTACCCTGACATTGCCTTTGGCGTTGCAGACTGTTTACGCGTGTCCTGAGTCAAGTTTGTGGACTTTTTCCTTGGTCTCGCCATTGCACTGGAGTCGGAGGTCGCACAGCTCTCCGATATTTCAGTCACTGCGTAAAACTTGACTCGACCACGCCGATGTTCCCGCATCAAGCTTGGTACTGCTCATCTTATGAGTCGTGATCAGGAGATGCTCAATCAACCGTGACCCCGACATACCGAAGACGGGCTGTTGGTAACATACAGATATCTGTACCTGGGCTAGTGTGCTTATGGAATCGCGATGCGCTCTGGGTTATTCTGGCATCATGCCACAGTCCTGTAGGTTAGTGCGGCTTGATCACCTTGAACAAATGTTGGTTAGTACCACTAAATGATGCCGCTCCCCATACCACCTTTCAGTCTCTTTTCCTGGCATCGGTACAAGACCTAAGCCTTCGTAAGCTATCCATGAAAGAGGGGAAGAGAAAAAGTGTGATGGGAACCATTGATTCTGCGTAGACGTTGTCAATGGGTGATAGGTTTCTGCTCGGCGCCCAATCCATTTTTCTTTTTGAGCATTGCTTCGCTTGTTCAAGTCTTCCCCTCAGGCTAAAGAGCTTGCAGTCCCGCTTGCTAAGAATTCCCAAACTTGCAGAACTCATGATACAGTACTCGGCATGTCCAGATGGGAAACCGTGAGTAGGCCGGCGGGACGTTTTAGGCTCGCCGCCAACGACCGCCATGATTGGTAAAGTCATTTGTGATGTCACCGCACAATGCCACGCGAGAATGATGTCTACTGGGCCGAAATCATGCCAGACGACTCGGAGAAATCGGAGGTGGCTTCATACCTCTGATGATACGCAATCCCGGTCTGTTCACGCGACTTCTCGTATTCGCCTACCAGCTGAACCCGGGAGTAAACTAAGGACCGCAGATACATTCAACTGCCGGGTAAAATGCCGTCCTGCTATAACTATAAGTCACATCAACTTCTATGCGTGGTCCTGACACTCTAGTTACACCGGAGGCAGGATACTCAAGCATCTCCATCCGGTTGGCCAGGAGCAAGGAACAGCCGTCACACGGCAGACTCGCACCTGCAACGGCACTTGCAGGGCCGCATATGGCCAAGGCTCGATGCATTGAAACACAGTGTGGCTAACTGACAGACAACCGGGAGGCCGAGTACGGCTGTAGGACGAGAACCTTTGCGCTTCGTCATGGCCAGTGGCAGTGTGTTCTGTTGTGTTGAGAGGGAAAACAGAAGATCTATCAAATTAAAATCTCGTAATTGAGAGAGGCCTCCACGTTTGGCAGAATGGTCTGGTTCTTTTTTACACGTTATAGCATGTTTGAAGCTTTTGTCTTGGTATCTGTCTTGTGTTCAAGATACTTCAATCTGCCCCTGGGCCTACAATTGCGATTTATCTGGCCATGTTGGAAATAGACGTATTTGAATGACGCTGCATTGTATTGACACATACGCAGCAGTATGTTTTGCTAACCATCCATCTCCGTGCACCTTGATGTCAACTGACGAGACGTGACTCGTGAGCCCCGCAATTGAATGGAGTCAACCCTGGTCCTGGCGGCGGCCGGATAGCTCGTGCGGGTACTCGGCTACTCGGGTACTCGGGCCTTTGGCCCGCGGTGGGGCAAAGCAAACGCCACCAGACCGGAGATATGCAAGTCGACGTGACGTTTGATACATCTTACCAGTCAAGCTGAGATGTCTCCATGATGTGTTTTGGTCTTGTATCTCGGTAGATTTTTAGTACGGGATAAGAGAATCGAGGCCGGGAAAAAACGTATGGATAATACAGGAGGGTAACTGGGCTTGGAACGATTGGTTCATATATCTGTGGAGTTCACAATAGCAATTTTATCCAGTGGAAAACAATGATAAATGGAGGCCTATTAGGGCTTCAATTGATGGCTTTATCGATGACGAAGATGATGATGATGGTAAATCCCGCAAATCAGACCCCCGCAAGCCCTAGGGCCCCTGACGATAACTCTCAGTTTTGACCAAACAAGATCAATTCAATGATCGACTTTGAGGTATCAGAGGTCCTTGGTTTTCCAAGAGGCCTTGAAGGACCGGATGGATCTATACGGGCGGACTGACATGGCGAGGAATCTTGTCACTCACGGGACCCCAGCTAATACATGCAACAAGCTCGGGTACAGCCGTATCAAATACGCAGCGGAAGGCGGCTTCGACGACCTGGTTTGCCTGCTGACTGAAGAGCAAACCGTACATCTAGATGACATGGAAGCAGACGGAACAACTACATCGCTCCATCTAGCCGCAAAACATGGGCATTCTTCGACCTGTGGGATATTAGTCGGCAAGGGTGGAAATATCGAGGCGTTGGACGCTGAATGTGAAATCCCTGTGAGCTTAGCCATAAGGTCTGGCTCCGTTTCAACGGTCAAGGAACTCTTGAGGGATCAGCAAGAAACTGTCTCACCAGATTCTGACAGTGAAGAATCTACAGCATGTGGCAAGCAGAAACAGCCCGGACGGACAGCATCGCATCCATTGCACCTGGCGGCTCAGCTTGGCGACTTGAGCATGGTAGAGTTGCTACTCGGGTACAAGAAGTATGCAAACCACCCTGCCTACCGGGCAGCTTTGAACGAAACGACCTACTCTGGGCACTTGGAAATCATGAGACGGCTGCTTGAAAATCGGCAGCCGACAGACAGTGACCTCGTTCACGCAGATTGGAGCACTACCCTGCACTGGGCGAGCCGATATGGGCATTGTGACATTATACAGCCTCTTCCGAGCACAGGACTCATCGATGTCAACATGCCAGACGCGGCTGGGAAGAGAGCGCTTCACTGGGCTGCAGCCGAGGGACGTGGTTCGCATCCTGTTGAATGAAGGGGCCAGTACAGACTTGCAAAGCACACGCGGCGACTGCGCAATCCACGCTGCTTCGGCGAATGGGCATGTTGACGTGGTCGAAGCCCTGGCAGGGCAGATGAGTGACATTCTGACTATAGGCAGCGAGGGCACGGCATTGACGCTCGCAGTCGCGAACCAGCACTCTCCTGTGGCCGAGTTCCTCCTCCGTTATGCAAGCACGCGGGTAATTCAGGAGAGTAGGCTGCTCTACAAGGCCGTCGAGAGTGGCGACGTGGTGACTCTCGATATGCTGCTCCGGCACGCAGACGAAACGAATCCACTCGACGACTTTCCGCTATGGGAGGCTGCTGCGGCCGGTCGCAACGCCGAGCAGATGCTCAGGTTGCTGCTGGCGATGGGTGCAGATGTACGGGTAAGGAATTCGAACAACGAGACTGTCTTCTTTCATGTGGCGCGACGGGGTCTTACTGAAGCATGTCGGGTGCTCTTAGAGTATAGCGACGGTGCCGGTATCAACGACAAGTCTGTCGACCAGATCACGCCCTTCTACTTGGCCTGCTACCACCAAAGAGAGCAACTTGTCCGAATCCTTCTGCCTCACGCCGACGTGAACATGAGATACTGCGAGGGCTGCACCCCTCTGCACGTGGCCGCAGCCAACGCCGAGATAACACGGCTGCTCCTGTCGGCTGGGGCCGATGTGAATATCCGTTGCGACAATCAAGCGACGCCCGTCGTTTTCGCAGCCGAGCAAGGTAGCACGGAATGCGTGCGGCTGCACTTACTAGCCGGTGCTGGCGGCACGGCCGTGAATGAGTTTGGCATGACGGCGCTGCATTACGCGGCACAAGACGGCCATGTTGAATGCGTCCGGTTGCTGCTCGAGCATTGGCGAAGGATCGTTACAGCTGACTGTGCAGACATTGTCTGATCTCCTACGCCATGCCCTTAATGCCACCATGTAGGCCGGCCTCGTCTTGCAAAATCAGCAAAACTGGCTAACTGCAAGCCCATAGCTTCATTCTCAACAATGATGGTTATACCGTCGAGCGTCTCATCCACGGCATGGACGCGTCATATAATAAAGTCCCGGTATGGGAGTGTAAAAACCTCTGCGCACTTTTCGGACCCTCCTTTGAATCTAGATACTATCGGTTCCAAACTGGAGATGAACTCTTGGCGCTCCTATCTGATTCGCAATTCAACTTGAATGATTGTACCCAGGTAATCTTTTAGAGACGTTGACTCGCATGTTTCGGGTTTTTGGCTGACTTTGGCAGGTTGTCGAGTTGATTCTGCCCAAGCATGACGCACCATTGTCGGTGGAATTGGCGTCTGCTGCGGTTGAAGAATTCAACAAGCGTGGCTGATCCCGCTCTGGCGGCTTCTTACATGTTGCCTGCTTCAGTTTCCACACTCGTTTAACCAGTCCAGCTTTCCGTGTGTTTATTGTACTATTCGTGCGCTTGCGTCGGTGGCTGAGACATGTATCTGTTCTCCCAAGGAAAGGAGGACGTTCTTGACCCATCAGCCCGGATGGTTTCCTCTGAGCACAAATAGTCTCGATTGATCCCTTCCCATTAGCTCCGCCTACTGTTAACTTACAGTCGGGTAATGTGAAAGCCACTAGACAAATGCGCAATGCGTCAGTGAACATGGCCGTTGAAAGAAATAGGAATCATTAATGTTAACACTGACAGTTCGCGAGCATGGCGGGCAGTCGTTTCAAGACACGTATTAGTAGTCGAATCCGCGTCTGAGTCGCATTCCTACGTTTCCCCCCGAAATATGTACCGTCTCTAGTGACCTGATGCAGACCGTAAAAAATGGGAATATGAGCTTGCCTCGCGGCGCTGACAAGTTCGTGTATGTGCTTCAAACAGCCGGAAGCCTTCAAGCTTGCTTGCAGTCGAGGATACAGCTTTCCGTGGGGACGAAGAAATCATTGAGCGGGTCAATAAGTACCACGTCAGTTGCGAAGGTCATTATGTGCTGTTAGAACCTCATGATGATAACAATCAGAGTTGTTGAAAGACAAACCGCAATGTGGTGGTCTTTGGCGCAAGGGTCTTCTGCGAAAAAAAAACAGAGAAACGATGGAGCCCGTGGAAGTGCTTGGAATGGCTATGGAAGTATGAGGTAACCGATTCACCTGATGAAACCTTCAAGTCTGGCACAGACACAACAATCAACAGGAAACGCCCGGCATCCAGAGACCTTCAGCACCGGCAGGGAGCTGATGATGATCGGCACAGGCGAAGTCCGAACCCTGCGCTGTCGCCTATCCGAGTGCAACATTTGAAGTTTTCGTGTTTCAGGGAGACAAGAGCCTCATGTCCCAGAAACGGCATCTCCGAGTTCTAGGCTGCCGAATGTACCAGTACCGTCCACTACATCAACCCCGCGGATTGATGATACGACTTTGGACTTAAACCAGCAAGAAGATAACAAGTCTTCTGGCGCTGACACCGACTTGGGAAAATGGCAATACGAATGACTTTAGCCTGACTGTTATAGATGGTTGATTTGTAAAGAGAAAGCTTCTCGTGTAAGGCAGCAAAGGGATTTCTGCTAGCTCGCAATAGTGCTCTGATAACATGTCTGGTACCCCTGCTAGCGTGCTCCTGGGATAGACGTCCAAAAACAGACAGCATAGCGAATCACTCAGGGGTCGGACTGTGGAGGGGTCAACCAGACTGGTATTAATGCAACTCGGGTCAATGTCAGCCGAGGGATCGGCTATCAGACGACATTAAGCTTTGCATAGGTGGGCTGATTTAATACCTAGTAGTAACATGCCCTTTCCATAGCTTCACAGAGAGTATTATGCATTTATTTAAGCATATTCTATGTATCTGCTACCAGACAGGACACGTCAAGCACAGGTATCCTAGGACGAGTCATGATACAGAGCAGGCATGCCTCCTGTACTGGCCTACCTAACCAGACTATTGCTCGGAGGTAGTCGGTTACTCGGTTTGCCGTCGGACGGAAGCTAAAAAGTGAGATTGTAACGTAGGGACTTGAGTATAACCGAACAGATATTTTATTAATATTGTTCTCGGAGTATTATATTTGGATAATATCCGATTAATCTTTAGCCACGTGCCTTAATTCGGACCCGAACAAGCCGAAAATTAAATTGACCGCTCACGTGCGCAAGGGCGCTATCATCAGCTCACTATTCCGTGGTTCCGTGAATAGTTCTCAGATTGCGTGCGCTTTTCCTGATGTATGCCAGAACTACCGATTGGCCACTGCCTGGGCCGCCACGGTCTAGTCCCTGCAGCATGTGGGAGCCGACACGGGCCAAACAGACCGGATATCGCGAACGAATTACAATCAATTGATAGCATTACGTAGTAACCAGGGCTTAGTATCCTGCGCCTTGGGTAATATCCAACCCACGTCCCGTAGTCTCATTATATCAGATCAGTAGTTAGCTGTATTTTATACCAGCTATCCTGAATATCCCTGTCTATACCGAATTCTCATTATTCGCGAAACACATGAGTTCATGCAAAGGGAGCCTGCTGAGTTACATCACACAAATATCGACTCATGATACATTTCACGTTGTGATTGTCCTGCCTCTCTCCTGTGAGAAGGGCCGATGCCATTTATCCTGGCCACCTAATAAAACCAGGGTGACTGGCCAGCGTTTCAAAACTTCTGATACCTATGAGGTTATAACATCCAGCAATCACATGTCAGCCTTCTCAGACATGCTTGAACTGCCCCACTACACGCCGAAGTGTCTGGTACGTCCGTGTTATTTGCGATATTAAATTAATTGACTCTATCCACCCATCGCCATGTGGCTTCGCTTGGTTCGCAACGCTGTCCTCTTTTGGAAGATGCTTTAATCGCATTAACAAAACCAATCCAGCTGTAAAAGACGTCTTCTAATATAGAGGATTAATAGACTCTGGCTTTTTATCAAGTCAAGTAAAAAGAAAGAAAAAATAGGCCAGATGCAAGACGTCTAGTAACACTGTATTTTGGCCGTACCTAGGCCAGGGAACCTTGATAGACACAGCATGAACGCATTGTAATGCGTAGCTCTAGTTCTTTTGTAACTAAGCTAGTGACCTAGACAATAATATTATGCCATAACTCTTGGCCAGTCTGTCATGTAGATTTCAAGTCCTTGGCACATCGACCCAGGAATCGAAGAGCAATAATAGCGACGCGTACTGTACATAGCTACAAAACTTATACCCATGGACGATAGCCAGGATTCCCTATCCATGCGTTATGCGCATTGTTCAGACCAATTTTACTTTCATGTACAGCTTCCGAGGTGTCCGAGGTGGGCTTTTGGCATTGTATCATGAAATGGCAAGATAGAGCCAAGAAAGTGCTGCATTGGCAGCCTAGTTTCCCTACAGAGATACTTCAGTAGAATTATATAAACCACCATTGCCAACATCTATCGCCGCAATGCATCAGACTTGCATACTGTATCAATTTGCCTTACTTGGTGTCTATCCAGAAGACTCCCGTCTTACTTGAGCAGTCTTTACGTTCATTATCTATCCAACACTCTCACTGCCCAGAAAGGTAGTCTCGCCAAAGATGCCGTGGCTGCCTTGGTCCCCCCTCGGATGCGTGGCGGCATTCTTCGCCGTCCTAGACGTATGCCAGGCGCACAATCCAAAGGACAACCCCGAGTACTACGTTTTCCGTGGAGATGGCAGAGATCCAGACGAAATCCGGGAGGCAGGGGGATTTGTCCCTGACCCGGATGCGGCGATATACACCAACCCTACTACGTTCAGCCTCGACAATCATGTTAATGGAAGAACGGGTTCGTCAGCTTACGTGTCGACATCAGCAGAGTTTGGACAGGCGGCAAGAAATTTTGCCGGGCCGGGAAACTACGTTTACCGAATCCACGTCACCCCCAACATGATCGACGTAAATGCGGCTCTTACTCGTGGCCATCCATACCCAAGACAGGAGGAGGCTAGCGCCTTGGGTGGCATTCCATGGACTGCAGTCGAGGGCTGGCTCCGACTTGAGGAGGACCGTGAATTTCCAGACGACTACGACTTTTTGAACGATGACTCCGCGGCCAGGCTTACAGGCAGATACGTGGCCGAGTTTGCCGATCAGTTTGAGCCTAACCGGGCATATGACGACCGCGGACTCGGAGGGCCTGCTAGGCTAACTGGATCCGATCCCCAAGTCGCTTTGTTGGCAGCTCAGCCCCCAGATGAAGCGCGACTAATAAATGCGGCGACTACCTTTATGAACAATCATGCCTTGGCTATCGGGTGGACGGAGGGCCAGGCGTTCCCCTATGCTCCCCCAACGCCACCACTGAGCACTGAACCGGTAGCTTTACCGGAGGCTGACGTTGCGAGTATTCCAGAGGCTGAAAGGGAGGACTTGGCAGAGGGCCGATTCGATAACCTCCAATGCCCGGCACTCGCTCTCACATTAGGAGTCACACTTCTCCAACCCAAGGGGCCCAACTCGAAGAGATACGTGCTGAAATCTCGAGATGACAAGAAGGGTATTTGCCCTTTATTTCCTACAAAGTCTAATTCATTGCCATTGATTGCTAACATTCCGCCCTCGGCATATCAGAACAATGTGAACAGCTCCGAGATATTGTTAGTCGGCTAACGTCCAGGAAAAAGCAAACAAGGCCAGCAGGTAAGTGAAACACGACCGAATAGAAAAGAATTTCTAGACACAAGAACATGTTGCCTAACTGCCACAGGCAAGAAAACTACTGTTGATCTTTGCGGAAATGGTCCACTCAACCCTCCTTGTACTACGGTCGAAGCCTTTGACGACAAGTGCGGTAGGTTTCGCCTTGATTTATACCGTCCTAATTTCCATCAACTAACACGCTGGATTTAAGTTGCCATACCGCAAGGCTACCAGAACACACTATCTGGCGTAAAGGCACATGAGGCTACTAGCATCTGCCGCTTTTATCTGTAAGCCCTCGTTGCTACTGGCTTGGCTACACGGAGACTGACATGATTCAAAAACATTTCAGAGAGCCCGACTGCAAGGGCAGGTACTTTGAAGCTGATGGCCAAGTTGTCGACCTCTCCACGGCGCGTCCCGAGTTCAATGACAAGGTCACTTCCCTTGTCTGCGAGACGCCGAAACCACACCCGGCACTCAAGCGCTGGCAATGGACGTCAAGGAGCCATTACAGATACTGCACTCGTTTGGACAAGGTGTCTCTTGACTTTCAGCTGGCCAACAATGCTGGATCCGGGACGTACGACAAGATCAAGCTGGCTATTGATGACGCCGGACAAAAGGTGCACGTCATCACAGAAGGTCCCTCGGCTGATTACAAGGTCTCGCAGGACTTTAATCTGAGGGACATGTTTGGCATGGATACCGTCGCTCTGAGCCAAATTAAACGAATCCGCCTTCTGGATGAGCTGACGGACAGGACGTTTGGAGGAGACGCGTGGGATCTCCTTGGTAAAAAATAATCACCCCCACGCTGTCTTGGTGTTTTCAAACTGAAAGCTAATTCAACTCTAGGACTCAAGCTCAGGGCACGGTGCGCCGGCTCGGGAATCAACATTGCAATGGAGAAATTCTCCAACCTTAACAAGGAATTGCAGGCCCATCCTACTGAGCCAGGACGGTTCCAGTACAACAGGGACTGGGAGGTCTGGGCCGACGATGTCAAGCCCCAAGACTGGGTTGCCAAGCCCCTATGCAGCCACTTTCAACGCATGAGCGTCAATCTGCACGTCGCTGATGCAAACTGGGCTGGAACGAACAATGACCTGTACGCCAAGGTGGGCGAGGGGAGCTTTTTGATCGCTCGCCATCCTTCTCGCAGGGAAGTTTTCACCACCGACATCGAGATCGACAAGGCCTACAAGACGAAGCACGTTCCCGTCACTAATGTTGCCTCTGTTGGGATTGAGAGCAAGGGTGGCCATGACGCGGCGTTGCCTGAAAGTAAGAAAGAAACCATAGCCTTGTCTAAACGAGAAGCAACTGACACATTTCTTTTAGTGGTGACGGTGTACGGAGTCTGCTCTACCACGTCTACATTACTCTCTGTTAAGCAGGAAATCACCGACTGGCTCTATGACGGTCAGACTATGACTATTAAGCTACCTCCTGAGAACTGGGTCAAGGCTTAGGGGTATTTGAGACCGGGGGGCGTCCCTGCTGTGAGGCCGTCATAATCTGATCAGACGTAAGTCTGTTGAAGAATATGGGGTTACTCTAACGGATGGTCCTCTGCTCGCCAAAGTACAAAGGATGTATGTAGTGTTAGATACAAGGATCAAGCCAGGATATACTTGTACTACGCGAAACGCCTTCTGATGGTCGCCTTGTTGCTGTTAGATAACCTTTAAGAAGACTGATTTATTAGAGCGTTTAAATATATTCTTACTTTTGATTTCTACTCCTTATACCTTTTTATTATAATCTGACAGCTTTTATAGTATAAGTAGTAATAAAAAGAAGTTACTAACCAGAAGAATATTAAGACTACTAAAAAACCTCTTATTCCTAGTTAAGAATACCTTATATAAATAATAATTAATTTAAGAAAGCTATTATAATCCTAATATACTCTTTTTACTAATAATTAGGTACTTGGTATTTTTTAGCATTTTTAGAGCTAGGTTATATTAATAGGTAATAAAAGCTTCAAATACTCACTAATTAGGAGGTATAATAAGGAGTATAAAGTAGTGCTTAATATTTAATTCCCTATAATACTTATTAGTATAGTATACTAAATAAGTATTCCTCTCCTACTAACTATAGCTTAGAGGTATATAAAGGGCAAATTGATAAGGTATAGCTTCCTAGGCTACTTTTACTATTCTTGTTAATTGTCCTATTCATGAGCCAAAGGGGCTTTTTCGCACGAGATACAAGATATCCTTTTTATTTCCTTTATTCTGAGTGAGCTTTTTGTTCTTTCAGGCATTTGGCACCATGAGAGAGGTGTGGGCCCTGCCACAATCGGTTATTTTCCCAGTTCGGGCGTCCATGCTATGTCGTCCTGCGACTGTTGATGCTGGTTTGGAACTTGACCGACTTGTGAGACATGGCTGTCTCGGCAGGTGCTGAAATGTCATGCCAAGGCGGAAATAATTAGTTGCACGGCAATGTGACGTCGTCCCCTTGCGCTCTCCTTATCAAATAAAAGTACGGGCATAAACGGGGGAGCTGAAACCACTGGGAGAGCCAAGCTCTTTCCTCTCGTGGTTGATTTGTGTCGCGGTTCTTGTTTTCAGCAAGGCGCAATTGAGGCATAGTAATCATCGGTAGCTCACATTCAAAATGAGCTCCTCTCTCCAAGACGTGAGAGGAAAGTCAAGATAAGTCAACCAGGATAATCCAATGTTACACGGAGGTCACGTTATAATAAAGGCCCGGGCCGACCCTCGAACCCGACGATAGTTACACAAGGGCTCGAGACCTGGCTGAGGCCTCAGGGGTCTGGGCTCGCCTCACCGCAGCTTGATATAAAGAAGGGTTATTTGCCCTTTAAGAAATATGAAATCATAGATCCTTGATATCAAAGCGAATATTAGCTAAATACGAATTCGTTCCAAGGCCTTATAACCAAGCCCTTGTCACACGCGAGGTTGGGAACTTCAGCAGGCAGACAGCGTTTGTTACACGGAAAGGGCCCAACAGATTGTGAAGCCCAACAAAGGGACTTCACTGATACGGGACTTATTGGTTACACGACTTGAACACCTGCCCGGGCAAGAGCCCTAGGCCCGGGCGTTCCTTTCATGTATATATAGTTGTCACCTCTCCCTTGCTTCCTCTTAGCAACTCAGGACCTTTGACATCCTACGAGATTATTATTGAATTGAACCCTTACGTTCCAAGCCCTCTAATCGAGCCCTTCTCACAGCGTTGCTATTTGTGTGGGCTCAAACGCCTATATTTCATACCCGTGAAACTCACGGAAGATGGCAAACGAAGCCCTATACACGTACATATATGTAATTGGTCGTTGGTGGACAGCGCTTAGCACCTCTGTTTCACAAAGAATGCGGCGTCATCACGCTACGACCAAGGTCACGTCAAGAGCGCCCGTCAACGCACCGATCAGCAAGCCCCGCTGCACTGATAAACGGCGAGCAGAGTATCTGGTATGTCTTATTTCAGCGAGTGTCAGCACACCGGGCTGGCTGAAGCAATGGTGGTGTGGAGCGGTTTCTGCATGTCTGGTGCAGTCAGACGAAGAATATCCAAGCACCACCCAGGTCTGGCCGAAACATACAGGGTGACCGTCGAAATGGCTGCCTACTACTGAATACACACAGCTGTAGTTTTCGCCCTACAAGTTGTTCGCTAGCTGCAAGGTAACCGTGACATCCAAAGCCACCACCAATTGGACCAGCTGAATGCCCAACCTCTTTCCGAACTTCCCCTTGAAGGTCTCTCTGCCACCCGATTTTAAAGGTGTATGCATGTAGCGACCGGAGGTTCCGAAGAGGTGGACCGGGTGAGGATTATATTGGTATGAATACTGGGATATTTGATCTAAGCCATGCCAGAAGCACCATCCAGCGCAACATAGTAGCAGCGCCTCAATATTTAGTTGCTTACTATGTTCACTATAGTCTCAGAACACACTAGCCTAAAGAACGCGACCTAGCACTACTCTTCTAAACGAGCTGGGGTCCAAAGTCGAATGATTGGAACACCACTTCGTTCAAAGGGGCGCACAACGGGACCTGTGGCGGGCGTTGTACTTCACCGGATAGATAGCCATTGACAGCACGCTTGAGATGATTGGTTCCCTCCAGCGCCGTTGGGACAGGGTTTGGACTCAGGTTGGACGGCAGAACTGTCGAACGACAGGCGCGGGTGTCACGCACAATGCCGATGGTCTAGGTAGCACACGTCATATGTAGGAAATGGGTAATCCATCCAATAATATTCCGTAATTTAGGTACGATGATAGAAACAGGATAGGCCTCATGTCAAATCTTGCATGTTCCGCAGCTGTCTTAGAATACCGTTGCGGCATGTGACACAGCCTCCAAAACTTCCCTATTCGACATCGTGCGTGACAGTGTGTGCCACTACAGACTTTGTTAATATATCTAGACTGTCATGTAACCACCTCAAGATTGCTTGACATGTCTGAGCAATGGGTACAACGAAAGGGTACGCGATGCGCAGGACTAGCCACCGTCGTACTCCGGAGTCGAAAGAAACGTCAAACAGCAAGTTGCGAGCTATTTTCTCACACGCTTAGTCTTTATTTCCGGCTAGACGATGGAGACAAAAGGGGGTGACTATGCTGGTAGGCGTTTTCTCTTGCGTGTTGAATACTCAAAGAAATGTGAAAAGCCTAACCATGTCATATGTGAGCAGTCTGTGACCTATGCCGTGCCAAGAAGATACGGTGCGGGAGAGAAAAACCTTCTTGCGCAAATTGCTCCCGACTCGGCCAGGTTTGCGAGTGGTCTGGCCAGGGCAAAAAGTGCAACCAAACCGCTCTTCTGTAAGTGGCGCCTGCTCGTCTCTTTCCTCCAGCTCTCATCTCACAATTTGTAGGAGACAAACAATCTTGGGACTCAGTTGTCGCATTCAGACGTTAGAGGTAATCCCAGCACTGGATGGGGACGCCTCTCAGGTCTCTTTTGCTAATACTTGTTTCAAGTCTTCTATGCTGGACAATCAGAAAACACCAAAGGGGCTTTGCAGTGTGGCATTACCTGCTTCGTTTGGCAGTGATGCGAGACAATCGAGCCGTACAAGGCCTTCTGGCTTGCAATCGCCAGACGTGGTAGTCAATCATGGATTCACCAAACCTCAGGGGACATTTCTTACAATACCCAGTCAAGGATTGGGTGAAAAGTTATTCGGTCCCACGTCATTGGAGTCTCTAATGCTCACCTTCAAGGACACGCTCGCGGATGGTCTTGATCCTGAGACGCCGGCATTGAAGGAATGCAGTGATTTGGCCCTGTGCGATGTTAGTCTTCCCATGAACCAGCGAGAAGATCTTCCTACCGATGAGTCGTTGCCCACGGCACCTCCGTCAGCAATATTGAACGCCATGATTGAGCCGTATTTTGCTACGGTCAATCCTCACTTTCCCATTTGGACAAAACAACAGATTGAGGAAATGGCAGCCAGCTTGGAACAATCTACATCCCCCGAACGTGACGCGGCAACCATGATTTGCTGTAACAACCTGATTCTCATGACGCTGACTGCGAATTCGCTACGCTCTCGATGGGGAAAACCCTTGCAAACTAAGCATAGACGCAGGCATTTGTCCATCGACTCCGACATCACCGCAGGTTTCCTCATGAACGCGAAGCGAGCCATCAAACACGTTGAGCTACTGCTCTCGCCTTGCCTTGTCAACGTCCAGGCGCTTTTGTCCTTGGTAAGTTGGAGTCAGTCCGTGCAAACGCCGACCGCATCACTAATAGGGACAGGGTGGCGATCAACTCA